GCAGGAAGAACCTGCAGGCAATCAATTATAACCCATATCAAATGGATATACGAGAAAGATCTGATAACAGCTAGTATGAGCAGTACAATGTATGTACATGAGGAATGTGAGAAACCAGCACTACTGAAATTGTCTTAAGGAAAATACAAGAATGTATCCCAACAAAAGAATTCTACAATTTTTAAGATTACAAAAGCATATTTCATTCTCTCCTGTCCTCTAAGACAAAGCAGCACATGCTTGGCCCTAAATAGAATGGCTGTCAGGGTGGAATAGCCAGGAGTTCTGAAGCCTTTTCTCCCTTTCCAGTCTCCTGTCCTCTAAGACAAAGCAGCACAAGCTTGGCCCTAAAAAGAAAGGGTGGAATAGCCAGGAGTTCTGAAGCCTTTTCTCCCTTTCCAGATTAAAATGTGGAATTCACTGCCAGAGGATGTAGTGATGGCCACAGGCATAAACAGCTTTAAAAGGGGATTAGACAGATTCATGGAGGATTGGCCTGCAGTGGATACTAGCCATGGGGATTAAAGGAAACCTCCACATTCAGAGGCAGTAAACCTCTGAATCCCAGTGTCAGGAGGTAACATCAGGGGAAGGCCCTGGCCTCGATGCCCTGTCATTGGAGCTCTGGAGGAACTGGTTGGCCACTGTGAGACAGGATGCTGGACTAGAGGGACAACTGGTTTAATCCTGCAGGGCTCTTACATTCTCTCAGCCACCAGAAATCTTACTCAGCTTTCCCACAGACTTTTGGGCTGCTGAGATTTCACTAAGCACACTACCTATATACTTACATTTTCACTTCCACAGAAGATAAAAAGTTGCTTTTACTTACAAGAAAAGCTCCGATTCTTCAAAAGCTGAACTTGTAGGCCAAATCCCATGCTTGCGTCTATAACCTGAATTTACATAGATGTGAATATACAGAAGGCACCTAACTTCAGATATTATGCTCAGTTATCCACTTTTGAAAGGTTCAGCATTCACCCCTTTAAGGAAGGCCAAGGAAGCATACCTGATCTGCAGAGTAAAATTTGAGAAGGTGCCAGCAAAACAAACACAGAGCAGTGTTCTCCCTGCTGTGTCCACCAGAGGGCACTCCTATAGCTATACCTTAGTCTTCAAAAAGCATTTCTGCTCAGTTTTGTTCACTCAGCCCCAAAGCCAGATGTTTCTACATTTTTCCTGAAATTATAAAACTTTATTTTTTCAAATTTAAGAAAACATTACAGATCCTGAAAACTCCCAATGCATCCTCTATAATAAATTAGTAAATCGCCCATACATGTAGCTGAAATTAGATGTTGTGGTTTCCATGGATCAAGGTTGACTGTGCAACTCCTTTCAAAATTCTTCAATAATACAAATTAGCAGCAATTGCTAGGCTTAGCGCGGGGTACCTGGCAGTGTGGCTTCCAATCTAAAAGCAAAACAACAAAAGCATTCATCTACAACCAGTTTTGGCTGTCCTTTCTTCCCTGCCAGCAGAGGCATCAGAAATATCCTGAGCTGATAGGTGAAGGAGAAACATAGCCATCTGAAGAACGTGACTATAAAATGGAATAGTGCACTCCAGGCAGAGGGGGAAAATCTGACTAATGCTGAAAGGTTCTCAGTGTCTCTGTTCATGCAGGAGAGTTGAAGCCTGGCCTGATAGAAACTCTTTGCGTATGAAGTCACTTAAATTGCTTTGATTCTCTCCAAGCTGACTGGCCAGTCAATTAACACCCTTAAGGTTGCAAGCAGCAGCACCACAAAAAAGCTACATTTTGAACATTTGCAAAAAACTATTCTGGCCCGAGTGCGATGAGAAATCAGTTTGCAGGAAGAGTCATAATAAAAACCACAAGTCCACTCTTATCTTGCTCTCCAAGGGCCCTCGGAGTGCTCACTAACAAAGTACACAAGCTCTGGTGACCTTTTGGATCATGATGGCTAATGGCAAACCTACCAAACGTCAAGTTTGCTGGCAGGATGTCCTTTAAAAGATGGTGCAAGCCAGAGTAGAGGCAGGCATGAACTGGCAGAGAAGCCCAGAGTAGAACTGCAGCATTAGAGGTGAATCCAATGCTTTCCTCATGAGAAAGATGCATGGGAAAAAAGAACAAAGGAAACTCAAAAGGGGGGAAAGGGAAGGGGTGGGGTAGATAGTTGATTTTTTTTCTTTTTTTTGTTAACTGATGCAAACTTCAGTGGCATGATTTCCCCTTTCAAAGCAACTCTTGTGAGAGTTCTAGAGGTCTGGTATATGATCGGAAGCCAGAGATCTCTAAGCCAAAGCTGGTCAACAGGCAGAGATGATCAGATGAACAGAAAGGGTTAGGCAAGCCATTTGCTGACCAAAGGATGTCTTCAGAGAGGAGGGACAGGCGGCCAAGTAGTTTTAGGGCTCCATCTTGGTACATCCTGCGACCTAAGATGAACAAGAGGTGCATGTCAGGGGGAGGCAAAAGCTGTGTGCTCAGCCCCCATGTGCAGACTCTTCACACACCTCTGTAATGGCAGTCATGGCCACTTAAGCAGTACCTTTAGTGTAGTTTCTTCCGGTGTCAATGGCATTTACAGACATTTTTTTGGCCCAATAACATAACATTCCCCCACCCCCCAGCTCATCTCATACTTACAATACCAGGAATCACAAAGTAGAAATTCTTACCCAATTCTGAAATTACATTTTCTGCATTTCTGAAATTATACCATGGTCCACACATAGACTTTTCTACAATGTACCTAGAATGCTCCCCCTTTTGTTGTTTTGTTAAACATAACATTTTTCCTGAAAAACATTTCTAAGCAGCTTGCTATTTTGTAATATTTTGGTTTGTCTTGTCAATGTTTTGATTTTTAAAAATATTTTAATGGACCAAAAGGGCTATAGAAGTTTTAAAAACAGATCAATGTGTTGTAAAGGGTTGTGGGGGTTTTTTTTTGGGGGGGGGAGCTTTTTATTGCAATATCATAAATTATCTCTTCAGAACCGACTTCTCTTGCAAGGTCACACTTCACAGACAAAAAAAGCTAGATTGTCCCTTTCTTCCTTTATCCTCACAACTTTATGGAATAATTTGACTGAGTGACTGATCCAAGGCACCCCCCACTGAGATTCATGGGGAGTGTGGAGATTTGAACCCAGGTCTCCTCCGTATTCATCTGACATACCAATCACCACACTGGCTGTATCAGCAAAGGTCCTGCTAAGAAGCAGGATCACCACATCAGCCCGCTGTAGAACAATGTCCAGGCTGCCCATTTCTAAGAGGCCCCACGTATTATATAACATGCTTGCTACAGCCCACTAGAGATTTATTTTGCTACACTCACCTCCTACATTCTCATTCCTGATTGGATTTGCTGAGTAGAAGATATAATCAACGGTGGCTCCCATACCCATTGGCATAGTTGTAACCTCAGGGCGGCCCTTCTGAGGCAGGAAATGGCTATAGGCAGAGGTCAAGTTCAGGCCATGCTGGACACAGCCTGGATATCTGGGCAGGAGAAAAGGTGAGTGAGAAAGTCACAAACAAAAACAAACATACAACCCCCCACAGGGTGCAATTAGTATCCACAGGCCATTCCTATTGTTACCGAACTTTGGAATTCTATAGAAGCCTCTCCGTCCAAGAATGCAAAGTTCACACTATTCCAGCAGTAAATATCTGCATAGGTTTCCCTGATGTCTTAACTGCCATCCAAAGCACCAACATGATTGCATGAGCTGCTGAGGATCACTTTTTGCAAAATTAACTTTTGTTATTATTGTCTAATCTTCTGCAGAGATGCCCTTTAAATAAACTTAACAAATTATAGCAGCACATTGGATAAATGCCTAATGTCAAGGGAAGCCTGATAACTTGTTGAAGAATCAGGCTGGCCCAAGTTAGCATAGCCTGAAAAGAGGCTTTAGAAGTATACCAGCCTGGCACTTTTCTTATGTGATGCCTTCACTTTAGTTTCAAGAGGGAGCCCAGGTCGGTTTCATTTATTCCACTGCAACTGCTGTGGCCCTGAAAGTTCATGATCAATTGCTAGGCAGTTTCTCCAGCAAGTGTTCATCCATTCTTTTTTCTTGGGAAGGCAAACATAAAACTTCCTCAGAGAAAACCCCTCCATCCCTATGTGCTCATCTACTCTGATGTGAGCTTTGTGATTGGAATCAGACAATCAATATTCTTGCTTCTCAAGACAAGCTTCCTTTTGCTGAAACATGGTTTAGTCTGCCATCTTCCTGTGTTATGAGCTTTCCTCATTCACAAGCCCCAAATCCCTTCCCTTCTGCTTACCTGGAACAGAACAGTTCTGCATCAGAGTTATTCTCCACAGTGAGCTCCTTAGACCAATGTGCAGGACGTTCTGCAATGTAGTAAAGCAACCCATTCAAACACAACATTGAACTTGCACCAGTCTGAATCAAACACACAATGGTTACATAAGAAAGAGGCTGTTCCATACACATGGTGCAGTAAGGCACCAAGTGACAAAATGGGAGAACCTAAGGAGCAGATCAAAATTACAAAGCTGAAGGCAAACTGCCATAATGCTTTCCAGCAAATCTAAGCAAGAGCTCATCATAAGAGATGATCCAGATAAGAGCGCCTTGGCCACAGTTAGAAAATGACCCAGCTTGCCCTGTCACCTTCAGAACTGAATTATAGGGGACAGCCTGATGGACGAGAACAAAATGAAAATTAGGATAAGGTTGAAGGGATGGGTAAAGTTGCTGCTCTTTGTTTAAGAAATTGGGCCCAGGACCGTAAGAATGATTTGACATATGCAGATTTTCATGCCATATCACAAAACCACTGTCAAAAAATCCACCAATTCCAAAAGAAGCTTGCCATACGGTATGCAGGGCTGCTGTTTGAGAAACACAAGCCATTTGCTGGTTATGGTCTCTTAAGTTTCTTCTTAAAATGGCAGCCATTCATCTGTGTGGGACAGGTAAAAGCCTGTTCTCTATTGTAGATTTAGAGATGTTCTCTCTCACACTCCAGATGACATGCAAACTATCTCAGTGCCAATGTGATTTACCAGAGTTGACTAATCAATACCCTTCTAGCCCATAAAAGCTGCTGCTAAGTCCTGGCATGGCTCTCTGGGGCCAAGGGCAGCATATAATCTGTCACCCTGCCTGCAAACATATTTTGTGCAATAAGGGAGATCATAACTTGTTGGGACAGAAAGAAGTGGAGGGAACCCTTTTTTGGAACCTGGTTTGGCATCTGTCACTCCTTCCAACAGGGCTAATTCTGCAGGTCGGTCACAGGCGACATCACAATAACGAAACTGAAGCAAGAAATCACGGCTATATTTACGCCTGTCTGCAGGGAGAAATACAGATCAAAGGAGGGAAATAAAGCATTTAAGGTGTGTTCAGACCAGTAGTTTTAGCACAATCTACGCTATTTGCATGAGGTGGAAATGCAGGTCCATACTACATGCTGTGGAGAGTACAGGTGCAATTTCAAAGCAAAGCACTCATTTATCTATTTACTTCATTTATAATCTGTGTTTCTCACTGAAACGCAAGGCAAATTACAAAATATGAAAATCAAATCCATCAGAAAAACAGCAAAAACCTCCAATAAACAATACAGTGGTACTACGGTTACAAGACTGGAAAACAATGCCAAAAAACCTGAAGAAATAATGAAGACAGTGGTTTACAAAGGTAGAAGGCAATGAAATAAAAGGAAGTTGATACATAAATTACAAAGCCCACAATTCTGCAAGCGTACACAATTACAAAAGGAGACAAACATTTTTAGATAATGGGCAAAAGTGAACTAAAATGTGGTAAGCAGACACATTTTACAATTACCAGCCATAGGTTTACATTTTTGCTTAGCCTTTCAAATGCCTAGGTACTCATACCCACAGCAGCGTGAAAGGTACAAGCAGATTTACAGAATATAACAAGGCAACCATTGGGGGCATCAGAATACCAACATATTTTCCTAGTGGTCTGGTAGGAAACTAGAACATTTCTAAGGCCTTGAGACAGCCAACTTAATTTAAGAACACTTAGGAATAAAAAGCTGCCTCTCAATCTCCATGGAGTTATGAAACCATGCAGCCTCCACAACACATATCCAAGCCTCATGGAACTTAGTCAAGAGATATATGAAATACAAATGGATTATAACTTAGAAAACTATTCTGATATTATTAAATACATGTATTATGTCTTGGTAAGATGCAAGATAGGACTTCAGAAAGCATGACTTGAAAGCAATTCCATTGAACTTGTGCAGTCTAGATCCAAAAATAGAAAGGGTTCATACCAGACAGTATACTTAAAGAGGAGTGTACACTTGTAGGTTTCCCCAGTAAGCAATGTAGTGCCCTTCCTAGATCATTTCAGGTCAGGAAAATGACACAGAGGAGAAATACTGAAGCCCCTTCTTCACATGCACCAGTGACATGATATGAATTGGACACCACCCATGCAGGAGGAGGGGGAAGAGGAGGAAGAAGAACTGGATTTATATCCCACCGTTTACTTGGCGTCTCAGAGTGGCAATCTCCTTCCCTTCTTCTCCCCACAACCGACACCCTGTGAGGTAGGTGGGGCTGAGAGAGCTCTGAGAATAGCTCTTGAGGGAACAGCTCTGAGAGTACTGTGACTGACTCAAGGTCACCCAGCTGGCGGCACGTGGAAGAGTGGGGAATCAAACCCGGTCCTCTAGATTAGAGTCTACCACTCTTAACCACTACACCAAACTAGCTCTGGAATTAAGTAGAATCAAAGCTCAGGTGTGGCTGTTACACAGGACACAGGATGGGGATCGTGCACCCAACCTGTATACTCCATAATGTGTAAAGAGGGCTGCACATATACATAACTTAAGTATGCAACCAGAAACCCACCTGTATACTCCAAAAAACGATGGACACTTATGCAAAAATTAAGCAAACTCATTCACTGCTTTCCCTCCAGTAATTAATTGTTTTAAATAAAGCATCCTACCTTTGAGTGTTTCCTGTAATAAAAAGGGAAGGCTAAAAATTGGTTAGCCCAGATTGTGAAGACATGCCAGCTCATGAAACAGGACAATATAATGCAACACGTGTCCTCATTTTACCATGAAGCTCACCTGACTTCTTCCTTTTGCAAAGAGTGACATATTGGCAACTATCAGTTATACCTAGACAGCTGGGCCACAGAGGAGTCAGCAGTTTCCGCTGATGTGGGTGATGACAGAACTCTTCCTGCCCAGACACCTAAAGAGGCAGAGAAGTCAAACACAATGAGGAAACTACATTTTTAAAAGGGCATGTGCCACTCCATATACACAAATATTTTGAGACACACTCCAAACAGCTTTACAAATGCAGAAATATTTATAGCATGCATGCACACTCACACATTAATCCTAACACCCTTCTAAATCCACTGAAATCAAGACTGTAACTCTATTTAGGACTCCATTATAAGAAAGCCAGTATTCCATATCTTCAGAATAAAGTATCTTTAAGATAAGTAAGAGAGCAAAGGGATCCCTGTGGGGCTTGCTTCAAACAGGAGAGTTGAACTTGGGAGTTCAGCAAGGGAGGTCAAGGAACAGCCGGAAAGAACCCCTCTAGTTCATGTTTCCTGAGAAAGTCCAAGTTTCCTGAGAAAGGAGAGTGATGTGCCGCTGTATCCTTGCTGCCAAGGAAATCTGCACAAATGCAGGTAGGCACCAGTGCTCCCTCTAAGCTGTGGAGTCTTGTGAACAAAAATTCTACTTTGTGAGCTACTGGCATTAAAGTTGTGAGCGAGCAATTTGACTACTGCATAGATTAGTTTGCGCTGGAGCCATCCTTCCTGAGGGAAGACAAAAATGTGTGAGCCGGAGGCTAAAAGACTGTGAGCGAGCTCACATTAACTCAGCTTAGAGGGAACACTGGTAGGCACCCTATTTTCATTCAAAAACATTTTGAAATGACTAAACCAATTATGAAGGTAGAAAGCCAGCAGGGGAGCTGGGACTGTCTTATCCAGTATTTTGCAGGGAGTGCCACATTATAACTACCTATCCATCGGGTGGAAATCATGGGTGTGTGCTCGATGCATGAGCTCTAGGTTCTCAGGGAGCAGGTTCGTTCCCTTGAGGCTAGGGTTGCCAACCTGGAGAAGCTGAGGCAGAGAGAGAGGTTTGGGCAGGAGACATTCTACCAGATCTGTCAGGACAGTCCCACTCCTGCACTGACAGCTCTTCTGTTGTTCTGGAGAGTGACAGTCTCAAGGTTGGAGGGCATCAATCCAAGGAGGAGGAATGTGATCCCTTAAAAGAGACCCCTTCCTTGGTTTGTGGACCAATATACTCTCATACTGAGGATACCCCTTTGAGGTTGGGGGGAGGTGAGATTTTGGTAGTGGGTGATTCAGTTATTAGAAATAGAGGGGGGGTCTGTGACAGGCATTTTGATTGCATGGTGACTTGCATGTCTGGTGTAAAGTCTGTGGACATCATGCACTGTCTAGATAGGTTGACAGACATTGGGACATGTAGGTGTATGGTCCTGGAGGAAACATTTAGGTTACTAGGCAGAAAGTTAAAGGCCAAGGCCTTAAAGGTTGCATTCTCAGAAGTGCTACCAGTTCCATGCACAAGGCCAGCTAGACAGGCACAGATCAGGGGCAGTGTTCCCTCTAAGCTAAGTTAGTGTGAGCTAGCTCACAGTTTTTTAGCCTCCGGATCACACACTTTTGTCTTAGGTCAAGAAGGATGGCTCCAGAGCAAACTAATCTATGCAGTAGCCAAATCGCTTGCTCACAACTTTAATGCCAGTAGCTCACAAAGCAGAACTTTTGCTCATAAGACTTCACAGCTTAGAGGAAGCATTGATCAGGGGTCTCAATAAGGGGATGAGAAAGTGGTGTCAGAATGAAGTTTAGGTTTGTTAGGCACTGGGGAACTTTCTAGGACAAGCTGAACCTTTATAGAAGAGATGAGCTTCACTTGAACCAAAGGGGAACCAGACTCCTGGTGATTAATATCAAAAAAGTGGCAGAGCAGTTTTTAAACTAATCCTGGGGGGGAGCCAACAGGAGCTGGGGACAAGATTCAGGACAAGGCACCCCAAAGAGACGATTTTGTACACACTCAGGGTAATATTGACAGGAGCATAACAGAACTTGGGAGTGAGGCTAGGATGGCAAAGAAGGGCCAAGTGTTGAGACCAAGGGGCCGAGGGAAGTGAGGGTTGCTGGAGAGGAAAACATAAGTGTCTGTATTCCGAATCTAGGAGTCTCTGAGCTGAGATGGGGGTGCTGGAGTGCTTGGTGCTAAATGAACATTTAGATCTAGTGGGTATCTCAGAAACATGGTGGAATGGGGAAAATCTATGGGAAAGTCATCACTGGGTATAAGCTCTATAGGCAAAACAGGAAGGGAGGTATTGCGTTATACATCAAAGTGGACACAGAATTGTTAGAAAACATTAGGGGAATGAACTCCCCAACAGAAGACATATGAGTGGAAATGAGTGGCCCTAAGGGTTACTTAAAAGTGTACTACACTATCACCCACCTTTTTTTAAAAAGTCTTTATCAGGAGATAAACAAAAACCATACAAAGTGAACAGAAGCAGGAAATATAGTACAACTATTCCAGATATAAAGGTATCGTAACATGTACAAAACCATCTAGTGGGAATATAGAAACATTAAAGGTACCGCTTATTTATTCTAAGTATATAAATATTACAACTAAAAAGTTAGGAGGGGGGAGAAAAGAGACCCCCGTTTGTTAGACACTATCACCCACCTGATCAAATCCTTGAGGCTGATCTTGAAATGCAGAAGGAAATAAGAGAGGTGACTAAAGCAGATAATGTTCTGATACTGGGAGGCTTCAGCTACCCTCACACTGACTGGGTGAATGTGTGCTCAAGTCACGCTGTAGAAATGAGATTCTAAGAGACATCATAAATGACTGCACACTGGAACAGTTGGTCACAGAGCCAATAAGAGGGGTAGTGATGTTAGACTTGGTTCTGACTGGGGCTCAAGAGCTGATGAGAGATGCAGAGGTTGTTGCACCAACTGGGAACAGTTAACACTTTTCCCAATTGGATGTTCATGAATGTTCAGCATTCATGTCAATGGAAAGTTACCTCTGAAGTCCAAAATGGTAACCTTTTATATCAAAAGAGGGAACTTTACAAAAATGAGGGAAATAGTTTAGAGGAAGCGGAAAGAGAAACACAAGACAGTCAAGTCCTTAGAATGTATGCAAACAAATAGAACAGAGTGGTTTGTAGGATAAAAGTAATGAACCAATTCAGTTTCACTGTATAAAGTGATCACAGGCAAAAAAGTAAAATAAAAGTGATACCAGGAGGAAGAAAGAGACGAATACTAATCTCAGGAGCTATTACATCTACAGAGAAAGTATTATTCATTTGAGAGCTAAACCAGCCCAAGAGGTTTGGCCCATTATCCCCAAACTCTGCTTACCTTCCAGGATGGCATCCCATGGTAGTACAACTGGCCATTCCTGATAAACTTGTATAACGGCGAGTCAGGCACAGAATTTAGGTCCCCACATAAGATGATGGGGCAGTAACTGCCATCAACCAGTTTTGCAGTCTTGTCTATCTCTGCCAGAAGCAGAGCCACCTGGGCCAGTTTGATATCCCCTCGATGAGGATTGTACAAAACATGAGTGTTTGCCACACACAAGGGTCTGATTGCCTTGTCTCCCAAGCTCTCTGGCAGTAAGGGATGCAACAATAGCACCAGACCAACGTTGTCTCTGTTGAGGATGTCCAAGCCAGGCCGAAAGTATTCAACAGGGTTAGCACTGATTAACTGGAACTTGCTCTGCTTGTAGCAGATTGCACAACCATCTGTCTTTCTTCCCGTCCGCCGCTTGTAGATGCAACCAAAGCCTAGCCAAACACAAAAGTACTTATTATTATTTTATTTGTAGTCTGTCTTTCTCACTGGGACTCAAAGGTGGATTACAAGTATGATAAAACTATTAAATCAATCAACAAGAGGATTAAAAAAATATAACATTTGAATCCAACAGCAAAGATGCCTTACAGTGGAGCTAGGACTGAAAAACTGGAAAAGAACAACACAAGCAATCATAACTGTATAAACTAGTAATGCTCATTCCATGGCTCATGGAGAGCCAAAGTCACATTACCATCAACCAAAAGAGCCACATGACTATGTTATTCCCTGTGTGCCACCCCACATAATGCACATTACAATTATCTATAACTATTAATATTAAATATATGTAACCATAAATTATCAGATTACTTCTCAGCATGGAAAGGCTGTCTTTCC